TAAGTGCCCTTCCAGGTAGCCGAGAGACAATTATGTTGAGTTCACACACACACACACACACACACATTCATACACACACAGACACACACACACAGTCTCTCTCTCTCTCTCTCTCTCTCTCTCTCTCTCCTGTGTGAAATTAATCGTTTTTGTCCAGTTTCTCCCCTTCCACCACCCTCTGCCATCGCTGACACCTACCATGACTTTCCTACCACAACACCTACCATACTTTACAACACCTACCATGACTTCTCTACCACAACACCTACCATGACTTCTCTACCACAACACCTACCATGACTTCTCTACCACAACACCTACCATGACTTCTCTACCACAACACCTATCATCATTTCCTCTCGCTTCCTAACCACTTGCCCTGGGTTACTGTTTCTTTTGCCCTAACTAACCTAACCTAACCTAACCTAACCTAACCTAACCTAAGAGGTGTGTGTTTATATATATATGTACTATACTGGAGTTCAAATGGTGACTATGGTTGTTTAGAAAGCGAGTAGTTATATTTTATCGTGAGGAAAGTCGTAAGTCACTCTTGTGTTTCAGTATATCGTGTGAGGAAAGTCGTAAGTCACTCTTGTGTTTCAGTATATCGTGTGAGGAAAGTCGTAAGTCACTCTTGTGTTTCAGTATATCGTGTGAGGAAAGTCGTAAGTCACTCTTGTGTTTCAGTATATCGTGTGAGGAAAGTCCAAGTCACTCTTGTGTTTCAGTATATCGTGTGAGGAAAGTCGTAAGTCACTCTTGTGTTTCAGTATATCGTGTGAGAAGTCGTAAGTCACTCTTGTGTTTCAGTATATCTGAAAGTCACTCTTGTGTTCAGTATATCGTGTGAGAAAGTCGTAAGTCACTCTTGTGTTTCAGTATATCGTAAGGGAAGAATCAGTCACTCTTGTGTTTCAGTAATCGTGTGAGGAAAGTCGTAAGTCACTCTTGTGTTCAGTATATCGTGAGGAGAAGTCATAAGTCACTCTTGTGTTTCAGTATATCGTGTGAGAAAGTCGTAAGTCACTCTTGTGTTTCAGTATATCGTGTGAGGAAAGTCGTAAGTCACTCTTGTGTTTCAGTATATCGTGTGAGGAAAGTCGTAAGTCACTCTTGTGTTTCAGTATATCGTGTGAGGAAAGTCGTAAGTCACTCTTGTGTTTCAGTATATCGTGTGAGGAAAGTCGTAAGTCACTCTTGTGTTTCAGTATATCGTGTGAGGAAAGTCGTAAGTCACTCTTGTGTTTCAGTATATCGTGTGAGGAAAGTCGTAAGTCACTCTTGTGTTTCAGTATATCGTGTGAGGAAAGTCGTAAGTCACTCTTGTGTTTCAGTAAATCGTATTCTCGTTCTTGTTATATTTCATTCAGTCAACTTTAGTGTATATCAGTTAATTTGGAAATGTTGTGTTTTTTTGGGGTGTTTTAATCTCCAGGTAAATTGATTAGATTATGTTTTAAGTTCCGTTTTATCTGTTAAGTGTTGTGTTTTAGGAGGTTTATTGGTGGTGAGAAGTGACACACACACACACACACACACTCACACACACACACACACACACACTTGTAGGTTATGTTAATATTTGTTACATGTTATTTATTTAACTGAAAAAAATATTAATGAAGAAAATGTTGTTGTAAATGTTAAGTTATGAGAATTAGCATTAGTATCATATACCGTCTCTCTCTCTCTCTCTCTCTCTCTCTCTCTCTCTCTCTCTATTAGTAAAATGTCAATATTCATAATTACCAAGAGACTCTTCGGTGACGTGTGTAATTATATCTATATAAAACGTCAAGTAACTTCAGATGCTACGTGATAATAAATTCATTAAGGTGTGATGTTAAGTTTGCTACAATGTTAACTGGTGAACGGTGTAACCCCATAAGCTTAGCAATGGTTCTTCCCGACGATGTCTTGCCGGAGATGGTAAAACATGTCTTGCCGGAGATGGTAAAACATGTCTTGCCGGAGATGGACATGTCTTGCCGGAGATGGTAAACATGTCTTGCCGGAGATGGTAAAACATGTCTTGCCGGAGATGGTAAAACATTGTCTTGCCAGGAGATGGTAAAACATGTCTTGCCGGAGATGGTAAACATGTCTTGCCGGAGATGGTAAATATGTCTTGCCGGAGATGGTAAAACATGTCTTGCCGGAGATGGTAAAACATGTCTTGGAGATGGTAAACATGTCTTGCCGGAGATGGTAAAACATGTCTTGCCGGAGATGGTAAAACATGTCTTGCCGGAGATGGTAAAACATGTCTTGCCGGAGATGTACCTGAACTGTTATTATTAAAACATGTAGATACAAGTGTTGTTCTACTGCCCCGTCAGCCAGAGTCAGTCGGTATTAATATATTAAGGGATCTGTCATACGGCGTGAGGCTCGTTTATTAACTCTAACTAATTGCATTTACGAGGTGAGGCTGTCGAGTGGATACAACGCTCGCCTAATGTCCTAAGGGTCGATGGTTCGCACCTGGGGTAGTGAGTACTGAAAACTGGCTCAGTCTACAGTGGGTTGTGTTTACACTGTCAGACCTATGGAATCCAATATTAAGTGCGCTTACTCTTTCAAGCTCTGTAGTGAGAGATGAGTGCCATGTGAGCTCTGTAGTGAGAGATGAGATAGAGTGAGCACCTTGTGAGCTCTGTAGTGAGAGATGAGTACCATGTGAGCTCTGTAGTGAGAGATGAGATAGAGTGAGCACCTTGTGAGCTCTGTAGTGAGAGATGAGATAGAGTAAGCACCATGTGAGCTCTGTAGTGAGAGATGAGATAGAGTGAGCACCTTGTGAGCTCTGTAGTGAGAGATGAGATAGAGTGAGCATCTTGTGAGCCCTGTAGTGAGAGATGAGATAGAGTGAGCATCTTGTGAGCTCCTCGGGGAGACAGACCCACAACACTGTTCCTCATTACCAGAACATTTGATGGTTATTACACAACTTTAACCATAACACATCCGGCCAACGTCATAATGAACACAGAATTAAAACTTGTGTTCCGACTTCAGCACATCCCGGCTCCCAGGATCTCTGTAGTGTAGTGTTGTTCAGCTGGGAGTGACTCTTGAGCTTCACTTATTGTTGATGGTGGAAGACACGAGTTAAGACATGTCATTACAATACTAAACATTACTCACCGAATACATGTTAATTATCTTCTCATCGTGTACTGTTTTAACACACACACACACACACACACACACACACACACACACACACACACACACACACACACACACACACACACACCAAAAAGTATCTTCACGGAGATGGTCGATAAATCTCACAATGAACACTGTGACTCCTGTTGTCTCGGTAGGGTTGCCAAAATCCTTCGTCCATTGTGTCATATTGTCTCACACAAAACCGTAAAGATACTTTCTGGGGCGAGTGTACCAGGATATAATAACCTACTATAGTTTACTAAGACAATCTTCACCGGCACTAGATAATGAATGTTTAATATTTTGTTATTTATCATCAACAATAAGACCTTATGAACAGTACTGGGAGGTTCTGGTCAATAAAGCGTCAAACTACATGAAAACAACAACAACAACAAAGACAACAACAACAACAATATAATGAAGTTGACGCTCTAATGAAAAGCGTTCGAAGAAAACTCAAGATTTAAAGACTCGGAGATAAACTAACTCATATAGTGTATTAAATAATATAATTGAGAGGAAAATTATTTAAGAATTGCGTTGGATATAATGTCTCATTCCTTCTCAAACGAAAATTCATACATCAGTTATATCAGGAAGAGTGAATATCGGTCTTATTAATTACAGGTAATAGGAATGGTATTAATTTGAGGTTTTGTGATGATGTTAAGTTAGAAGTTAATGATTTATCTGTAATGCTCAGTTTTGCTTCATGAGTCACTTAAAGAGATGCCTTGAACACGTGACAAGTTGAGTTGGTAAAAATGTTTAACAGATAGAGGAAATACTTTATAGTGTCAGCCACCATTCTGTCATCATCACCATCATCACCATCATCATCATTATCATCACCGTCATCATCATCACCATCATCATTATCAACATCGTCATCATCATCACCGTCATCATCATCATCATCATCATCATCATCGTCATCATCATCACCATCATCATCTTCTGTCATCATCACCATCATCACCATCATCATCATTATCATCACCGTCATCATCATCACCATCATCATTATCAACATCGTCATCATCATCACCGTCATCATCATCATCATCATCATCATCATCGTCATCATCATCACCATCATCATCATCAACATCGTCATCATCATCACCATCATCATCGTCATCATCACCATCATCATCAACATCGTCATCATCACCATCATCATCGTCATCATCATCATCATCATCATCAAACACGTTCGCCGCTGTCAGCAGTTCCCGTCATAATTGTCAGTATGGATCCCTGTTTGTGTGTCAGCCGTCAGCGATCTCGGTCTATGTGTCAGCCGTCAGCGTTTTGGCCCGTTTGTCAGCGTCAACTGTGTGTGTCAGCCGTCAGCCTCATATACCACCCGCTACTTGTCTGCACCCTAGCCAACACGACCATTGCTACCGTGTTATACCTGCAGTGTTACCTTGGCACCTGTACCCAAGCTCACCATTGAGACCCGTTCACCAGTAAACACCTATTCACCAGTGCCTATTCACCAGTACCCCGTTCACCAGTACCCGTTCACCAGTACCTATTCACCAGTACCTGTTAACCAGTACCCATTAACCAGTACCCCGTTCACCAGTACCCATTCACCAGTACCTATTCACCATTATGACCCGTTCACCAGTACCCGTTCACCAGTACCTATTCACCAGTACCCGTTCACCAGTACCTATTCACCAGTACCTGTTCACCAGTACCTATTCACCAGTACCTGTTCACCAGTACCTATTCACCAGTACCCGTTCACCAGTACCTACTCACCAGTACCCGTTCACCAGTACCCCCGTTCACCAGCAGATCCTTACCTCTGTCGTGGAGTATGGAGATGCGGTTGTCATTAGTGATGCTTCTGTCAGCCACGGTAAGGATGGACTTCTTGCCGTCCTCGTGTTTACTCCACCACACAGTATGGTTGCCGAGGTTAGCCACCACACAGGTCAGTAGGATGTCATCTCCTTCGTGGAATTCTCGCGGGACGTTGGCTGTGTTGCGTATGAACGGCGCCGTGTTGTCACCTTCAGAAAAAAAAGAAATATATTTTTAGTAACTTTTTATATGAGTTATAAATATTAATTCTTATCCACATTTATCAAACTTTTTTTTTTTATGCTTTTACTTGGATTTGAAGTTTTAGTATTTTTCTGGGGCTTGTAAGAATTATTTGCTAGTTTAGTTTGGTATTTATGAGGTAAAGTTGTATAAGTAAAGTTTGTAAATAGTTTGGTGAGGATCTGGATGAGGTTGACTCCCAGTAACATTAGTGAAATTTGATTATAAAAGGATAATATGTACACATTTATATGCTATTTATATGTTATTTTCCTATAGTTCTAAGGTAAAACAAAGATAAATAAGAACATAATTTGATATAAAAAACTGCAGAGAAATTATATTGGTTGTTATCGAAAATCTATCACCAATAACAACAGGTCAGAGTGGGGGGGGGGGCTTTCACCATTACCAAAACCTGATCACCATTATCACCACAGAGTCACAAGCATTCACCTTCTGACATGACTCACTCGTAACCTTGTCATATGTGTGTCACTGTCATACACTTGGTATGAGTCATTCTCTCAGGTCAAGTACCTCCTCCCGTCTCCTCTTTCTCCTCACTCTGGTGTTATATTTCTCGCTTTTATCAAGGTTTTCCTCTGTTTCTCCTCCTTTATCCTTCAGGGAGAAAGTTACCCCGGGTTAAGGTTTACAATAGGGTGGGTTTAACGTCTCTCTCTCTCTCTCTCTCTCTCTCTCTCTCTCTCTCTCTCTCTTTTTCTCTCTCTCTCTCCACCACACGACACCACAACCACACCAATTCACAAGCACACCTCCGCCACACCACCTCCATCACACCTCCGCCACACCACCTCCAACACACCTCCGCCACACCACCTCCAACACACCTCCGCCACACCACCTTCGCCACACCTCCACCACACCACAACCACACACTCATCCCCCATAATCACCTGGCCATCCATTACCTGTCTCGTCTAAAAAAAGAAATATATTCACGGTCGTTTTATATTAGCTAGAGCGGGGGTTGGTGGGTCAGGGGCCAGGGAGTTGGAGTCAAGAATAAAGGGCTGGAGGGTGAGGCAAACAGATCAAGGTGAGGCTGCAAGTAATGGTTCATGAGGCAGGGAGGCTGAGTGGAGATTGGGCTGAGTGAGTCAGGGGTGAGGCTGCAGGTGGTGGGCCAGGGAGGTGGGCTGGAAGGGAAACTTGGTCATAATTCAACAAAGATTTTCTCCTCTTTGGTGTTGCTATTGTTATTTATTTAGTTCACTCGTTCACCTGCCTTCATAGTGTTTGGATCACATGAAGATTACACACCCCAGCTTAATTTACCTGATGAGTAGACACCCCAGCTTATTTTACCTGATGATCTTCATGTAAAATAAGCTGGGGTGTGTAATCTTCATGTGATGAAATTATTATATACATTAAATTATCTGGAAATAAATTGCCAGGGAAAATTTGTGATGAATTGTTGAGGTGGAGTGGATGGTGGTGATGAGGGTGGTGGTGGTGATGAGGGTGGTGGTGGTGATGAGGGTAGTGGTGATGGTGGTGATGAGGGTGATGGTGGTGATGAGGGTGATGAGTGGTGATGAAAGAATTAGTGTGGTGGTGTGATGAGGTGGTGGTGGGCGATGAGGTAGTGGTGTGTGATGATGAGGGGTGATGGTGGTGATGGTAGTGTGGTGATGTGGTACTTGATGAGGGTGATGGTGATGAGGTGTGTGGTGGTGTGATGTGGTGGTGGTGATGGTGGTGGTGGTGTGATGAGATTGATGGTGGTGATAAAGTGTGTTGATGGTGATGAAATTGATGGTGGTGATGGGGAGTAGTGATGGTGATGGTGTGGTGATGAGGGGTGGTGGTGTGGTGATGAGGTGTGGTGGTGGTGATGGCGGGTAGTGGTGATGGTGTGGTGATGAGGGGTGATGGTGGCGATGAGGGGGTGTGGTGGTGATGGTGGTGGGGTGATGGTGGTGATGAGGGTGATGGTGAGGATTGGTGGTGATGATGGTGATGGGGGTGATGTGGTGTTATGGGGGTAGTGGTGGTGATGAGGGTGGTGGTGGTGATGAGGGTGGTGGTGATGGTGGTGATGAGGGTGATGGTGGTGATGATGAGGGTAGTGGTGATGAGGGTGGTGATGATGATGGTGGTGATGGTGTATAAAAGCACCTTTGCTTTATATAACTATTCACCCAAATGAATAACATCAACTTATTCACCAAATTATTCAACAATGACTCAACCTATTGACGACACTAGACGGCTGAGCTTGTAACTTTTCTCAGAGGTCAGGCGCAGGTCAGCTGATTAATCAAACAACCGGCTGACACTTACGGGAACTTTACCACTTGAACAGGGACGAACATTTAACTCAAGTGTTCTCTCAAAGTGTATTCACAACACTTACCTGGAGAGAATTCATGATTTGTTCTCTCAGGTAATTACTTTTTATTACATTCGACAATAAAGAAAAAAACAAGAAGTGTTTACATCAAGCCCCGGTGATGGTAGTGATGATGATGATGATGATGATGATAGTGGTGAGAATGATGATGATGATGATGATGATAGGGGTGAGAATGATGATGATGATGATGATGATAGTGGTAGTGATGATGATGATGATGATGATGATAGTGGTGACAATGATGATGATGATGATGATGATGATGATAGTGGTAGTGATGATGATGATGATGATGGTGGTGATGATGATGATGGTGATGATGGTAGAGATGATGATGATGATGATGATGATGGTGGTGATGATGATGATGATGATGGTGGTGAGGAATGATTGATGATGATGATAGTGGTGAGAATGATGATGATGATGATAATGGTAGTGGGAGAATGATGATGATGATGATGATGATGATGGTAGTGGTGATGATGATGATGATGATGATGATGGTAGTGGTGAGAATGATGATGATGATGATGATGATGATGATGATGGTAGTGATGATGATGATGATGATGATGGTAGTGATGATGATGATGATGATAGTGGTGAGAATGATGATGATGATGATAATGGTCGTGATGATGATGATGATGATGGTGAAGATGATGGTAGTGGTGATAATGATGATGATGATAATGGTAGTGATGATGATGATGATGATGGTGATGATGATGATGATGATGATGATGGTGGTAATAAGTAAAAAGTGTATCTAGGACGAAAGTGTCAGCATGTGTCCAGATTGCTTCCTTTAGCGGTGGTGAGGGGGAGGGGCGAGAGAACTACCAGGCTGGTAGTTCTATAACACCATTTACTCTGGTCGTTCTCTTTACAGTAACTACCTCTTATGTTGTGGGACATTTGTTTTAGTAAATTGGTGATATTATGTATATATATGGAATTTCATATTAGAATTATTTTGACAACAATAAATAATTTCGCTGCCATAATTTTCCTCCCGGTGCTTGAAGCTTTATTTACACTCATTATTTTTAACGAAGGTCAAGCAGAGAGAAATATTGTCCTCAGTATAGAACCGAACTTGTTTTATTGCTGCGTTGTGACGTCACTGTTAATATATATATAGTGTCAACAGAACAGTGACTCTGGAGTGTATCAATTTATTTGTTGGTGAAATTGGTTATTCTTAGGACAGTATATTGTCTCCTCCCACCACTCTCCCTCATTTCCCTCCCTCTCCCTCACCTCCACCACTCTCCCTCACCTTTTCTACCCCTCCCCTCCCTCTCTCCCTCTCTTCCCCCCTCTCCTTACCTCCCTCACTCTCTCCCTACCTCCCCCCTCTCCCTCTACCTCCCTCTCCCTCCCACCCCTCACCTCCCTCTCCCCCTCCACCTCCTCTCCCTCCACCTCCTCTACCTCCCTCACCTCTCCTCCTCTCCCCTCCCCTCTCCTCCCTCTCCCTCCACCTCCCCCACTCTCCTTACCTCCCCACTCTCCCTCACCTCCCCACTCTCCCTCACCTCCCCCCCTCTCCCTCTCACCCCTCCCCCACTCTCCCCTCCCCACCTCCCCTCTCCCTCCTCCCCCTCCCCTCTCCCCCCCCACCTCACCTCCACTCTCCCCTCCCTCCTCCTACCCTCCCTCCCTCCCCCTCCTCCTCCCCCTCCCTCCACCTCCCCCCACTCTCCCTCCCTCCCCCCTCTCCCCTCCACCTCCCCCCCACTCTCCCCTCCCCTCCCCTCTCCCCTCCCACCTCCCACCTCCCTCCCCCCCACCCTCTCTCCCCTCCCACCCTCTTCTCCCTCTTCCCTCCCTCCCCACTCCCCCACCCTCCTCTCCCTCCTCACCTTCTCCCCTTCCTCGCCTCCTTCCTCTTCCTCACCTCTCCTACCCCTTCCTCACCTCCCTCTTCCTCCCCTTCCCCTCCCTCACCTCCCCCAGTAAGTCCCCAGGTGCGGCCAGGAGCTGCAGGGACTTACTCAGTGTTACTCTGTTTGTCCTGGCGGTTGGCTGTTTGTCTGTCCGGGTGATATATCAGGAAGGAAGGTGAAAATTGGACACAATAGTAAACAAGTTCTAAGGCAAACACACACACACACACACACACACACACACAGAGGTTGGTGCAGTATAAAGCCCCCCCGTGGTCTAAACACTTCTAAGCCGATTGAGTTTTTGTTACAAGTCTGTGGTTGGACATTAGTTTTACCCACAACACACACCGGATATAAATCACACGTTACTTCCTCAATGGAGATACGAACCAAGGATCAATTGACTCTTATCCCAGTACTGTAACCACTCCTCCACCTTATATAAAGACTGTGTGAGAGAGAATCCCAGGTGTTAGAGGAGGTAACTCACTCCCCCAAAAAAGTATCTTCACGGAGAGGGTCGATAAATTCCATAATGAACACTGTGACTCCTGTTGTCTCGGTAGGGTTGTCATAATCCTTCGTCCGTTGTGTCATATTGTTTAACACTAAATCGTAAAGTTACTTTCTGGGGGACGTGATAATACGTGGGTGAGTCTTATCCGTGACGTGTGAGGAAAAG